TCAGATGCTGGAAAGGTCCCAGTTATCATAGCCTGCTTTGCTGAGTCATTATTAAGGCCCTGTCTGCATGCTGACCCACAGATTTTTTTTTCCTGCCCTCCTCTGTATTAACGGTTGGATCTCAGATGTTTCTTGTCATTTTACATGCTTTTTCTTACTGTCTAACTAACTCTTCCACAAGTTCTAAGATTTTGGATCCCAGGCAAGACTCTTACCGCATATCTAATTGGTCTCTTTCCCCAAGGCCTGACAACCAGAAGTGTCAGCATGACTAGACATTGTGCCTATCTTATCATCCCCCTTTTCCATTTCTTTCCTGCCAAATGTGGAACATACCACCTACATGTGGTTTTCACATTATAACTCCTTCCTCACGTGGCCAGGCTCTTTCTGAACAGAGAGGTCAACCTCAGTTGTTTGTCTTCTCAGCCACAGTAGGCTCTAAGCCACCGCTTGCATAGCCTGCCTACAGTGCTGACCCATACTTGGCTACTTTCAGGATAGTGACTGTGGTGGTTTGAATTGGTTTTTTTTTTTTTTTTTTCTTGATTTTTTTGAGGCAGCATTTTGAAACTGTCTTAGAACTAGCTCTGTAGACAGGCTGGCCTCGAACCCACAGAGATCCACCTACATGTGTCTCTGTAGTGCTGGGATTAAAGGCCTGTGTCACCATTGCCGGATAGCTGTAGTGGTTTGAGTGAGAATGGACTTCATAAGCTCAGATATTTGACTGTTTGGTCTCTGGTTGGTGAAACTACTCAGGAAAGGTTAGGAGGTATAGCGTTGTTAAAGGTGTGTTACTGGGGGTGGGCTTTGAGGCTTCAAAAGCCTATGCCATTTCTCTCTCTCTCCTCTCTTTCTCTCCCTTTCTCCCCTCCCCACCTCCCTAAACCTCTGTGAATGTAAGCCCCCAATAAACTCTTTTTTTTAATGTTACCTTGGTCATGGTGCTCTGTCACAGCAACATAAAAGTAAGTAGGATATTCTCATATTCTCTAGCCCAGTGATTCTCAACCTTCCAATGAATCACGTTGTCTGTTTTAGATAGCCTCAGGTGACCCCTGTAGCCCCTTAGATGGAGAACGGATGCTCTAGTCCATTAACTCTTTGAGGGGCAGCTTTGTACATAGAGTGGATCCCACTCACCAAAAGGCACATCACATTATACCGTATAGATTAGAAAGAAAACCTTGGATTCCCCTCAAGGATGTGCTACCCTTGGATATATCAGTTTTGGTTGCATGTCCTATCATGCAACTGTTCTGCCCAAATACATGCCAAAACCAAGAAAATATTAAAAAGTGAGAGTACACTTAGAGTTACCCAAACAGCAATAGTCATCATTTTTTAAACATCTCATTACATCTGTGTACTTGTGTGTGCAGTGGTCGTGGGGTGTGGGCATGCGTGTGCAACAGCCCAGATGAGGAAGTCAGAGGAAATTTGCAGTAGTCAGTTCTCTCCTTCCACTCTGTCAGGTCTGGGCATGGAATTGGGATTGTTAGGTAGATTAAGGCTGCTTTGCAGACATGATGTATTTGCAGGTCAGCAGGTCGATGAGCAGAGTAAAAACGACAATGAGAGGAACATGCTGCCTCTAGCCTCCACACCCTGCCAGAGACACAGCGCCCGGAAGGGATGGTCTCTCCAGGATTTCCCCTCCGTTCCCTTGGGGAATGTCTCTCTGGACACCTCCATGAAAAATGTTAATTATGGGAGTGAGACAGAGCTTCCCAGAGCTGCCTCCCCTCTTCTAAGGAGTAGGGAAAGCAGATTCCTCTGTTTCTTCTCTGGTGAGAAGAGGTGTCAATGTTCTCTCCTTCTCTCTCCCACTAGATTTTAGGATGTTCTCAGTGCAGTCACCAACTACCACCACAAAACTCAAGCATGTGCCCTGTTTGTACCCTCACAGGGCTCTGCAGTAACGGCCCCCACCTCCTCTGCCTCTGTACCCTCAGTCACCTGTGCTTCCTTTTCCCAAATCATTTATTTACTTATCTGCTGAACAGGATGGCACCCACCCCTTGTCTAATTCCTGGAATGCCTGGCTCTTATCTCAGCTACTCATTCCAGCAGCCAACACAGCCAAGTATTTTCGTCCTTTGTTAACCTTTCCCTCTGTCATTTCAAAACCACAGAATCCAGAACACAAGCAAGACGCCCACGAAAACTCCGTCTTAAAACAGGGGGCAGACATGAAGGTAAGCGTGTTACATTGCCCTGAGAATAAATGGTTTTGCAGTGCGGGTCACAGTCTAGAAAATCAAGGGAGCCTTTAAAGACATGCTATACAATTTACAACAGATTTGCCTTCTGAAAAGTCATCAGTGGTGTGTGTGTGTGTGTGTGTGTGTGTGTGTGTGTGTGTGTGTTATAACTGTGTTCTTGGGAATTTGTGCATAACACAAAGACATTGTGAAATTGTATTAGTGTGTACCTGTTTTAATGTCTGAAGCTAAATGATTTCAGACTTGCCTAGCTATGGTTATGAAATCACAATACTGAAGAATTTGAGTTTTTGTAATTCAACACCTCTAGCCACCACTACTTCACAAAGTTAAATGCCATGTCTAATATTTTATCTATGTGCCAATGCTGTAAAGTTGTCTAGAAATAAAGATAAGGCTTTGTATGTCCTTTCATCTTCCACAGTCTAGCATATAAAGCCAAGAACCTATAAAGCCAAGACCTTGGAGTTAGTCAGGTTTGAGTTAAAATTTTATATCATTTGCAAACTTTGTGACAGTGGACACTGCCTGACTTCCAGTCAAGGGAATATTAAAGTTAGTATATGAAAGGGAAATCGATTTTCACATCAATTCTGTCTCCACTCGTTTCCTGGAGCAGGAGTGGTCCAGAAACACACACCTGTAATCTCTGCACTCAAGATGGAAGAAAGCAAGACAATTCTGAGTTAGAGGCCAGCTTAGACTGCATAGTCAGACTCTGTCTTGAAAAACAAAACTATTTCTTAAGGCCAAGGATGTGATTCACTGTGTGACCAGTTGGGGGATATATATATATTCAACATTCGTGAGGCCCTGAGTTCAATTTCCAACCAAAAAGTACCAAACACTGAAAAGAAAAATGCATACACTGGTTTATAACCTAGGGATAACAGCTGACACTCACCTGCTGAGTGCCAGGCACCATTCAAATCACTCTGTGTATTTAACTCCTGTTACAAAGTTACATTTCTATGTGAAGAACAGGAGCATTTAAGTACATGCCCACAGTAATCAGCTAGAAAGTAGCAGAATCAAGACTCAAACCTAAGGAGTCTAGCCCTACATCTTCTTTTTATTAAAACTTATTCTGCCTGATGAAGATAAGTGAAGTTGTTTGTTTGTTTGTTTGTTTTTAAATTGGGAGAGGGATTACTTCCTTTAAAAAAATGTAAAAGATTGTGATTGCTAGATTGGGTGTAGAAAATGCCTGCCACATCATACATGTGAAGGCCAGAGGACAACTTGAAGGAGTCAGTTCTCTTCACTATATGGGTCCCACGGATGGAACTCAGGCCATCAGGCAGCAAGTGCCTCTACCTGGTGAGCCATCTTGCCAGCCCAGAGAACAGTGATTTTTTATTAAAAGCAGTGAGTGTTTTTATAAGTTATGTATATGATATCTGTCATAAAACATGCATGAAAGATTTCTGTGTACTTTTTATTTATTCCACCAAACATGAGGATTTCCATACCACCAGATATTGAATTCAGCATCAATACCTATAGTCTTGAAATTGAGGTTTTTCTTTCTTTCTTGCATTTTTAAGTTTGTTTGAGAAATGGTTGACAGAAAAGCCTTTGATAATCCAAGAAGTCATCCACTTTGAACTCCACCATTCACACAGGACAAAACAGAGGCAGAATGACATGAAGTGATTTCACATCTCAAATAGGCAGCCAGAGGAGATAGTTCTAGCTAGGACTGAGGTCTCCTCATTTCTGGTCTGACAGGAAGCATTTCTTCCTCCAACAGGCTAGTCTGTGGTGAGCCTGGATGCCACATTTACAGAAGGAGGGCCTGTGCATTCTTAGTATCCTCCATGGGTTAGACCATAGCATAACATGTTAAAAACAAACTCATGGAGTTGGAAATAGTTCAGTATTGAGCATATGCCCAGCAAGCATAAGGCCCCAGATTCAGTCCTCTCAAGGGGAAAAAGATGGAGGCACAATAAAACCTTTAGGGAGTTTATTTGATAAAGCAGCTGTTCCTAAATCAGGCAGAAGTAAGTCAGTGAGCCAGAGAGGGAAAACAAAGGGAACATTTTGTTAGGATAAACATATAAGTAAAACAAAAAAACATTTGCTTGGAGGCTGGGCATGGTAGCTCATGCTTATAATCACAGCTCTCTGGGGCTGTACACAAGAGGGTCAGGAGTTCAAGGCCATCCTCTGCTACAAATAGAACTGAAGACCAACCTGGGCTTCATGAGACCCTGCTGAAAGCAGTGAGGGAAGGAAGGAAGGAAACAGGAAGGAGGCAGCGGCAAAAGAAGGAGGCAAGGAGGAAGGAAAAGGAGAATAAAGAGAAAACTATTTGATTGGCTACAGTTATGTATTTGGTCTAGTTCCGTAGAAAGTCTATAGCTGCATATACTCGTTGGCTAATTGGTTGGTTTTGTATAATATAGGCATTTACAAGAAGAGCATACACTTTGTTTTGCCCGTGGAGCAGAGTTAAGGGCAACCGTGAAACCTGGCTGGCTTGGTCTGCTCAGGGCTCTCTTGGCTTTAACTGTTACATAAACAAAAACAGGTGGCAATGCTGCTCCATCTTGGTCTCTCCAGGCTTAGCTTTTAGACAATGCCCACTTTCATGGAGAACGGGGGCAGAAGCCTCAGAGTGGAATGTGTCCTTGTGAATAGCAATAAGACAGGGTCTCTCTGTGTAGCTCTGGCTGAGCTGGAACTCACTAGACCAGACTGGCCTCAAATCACTGAGATTCTCGGGAAGGCCTGTGCTGTCGCGCCCTCTAGCGTTAAAATGCTTGTCTCATCCTTCCGAATCCTCTTGGAGTTTCCCTCCAGGCTAACCACAGCTCAGAGGAGCGCTTCCTGCTGATGGGTTTCACCGACTGGCCCTCCCTGCAGCCGGTCCTCTTCGCACTGGTCCTTCTCTGCTACCTACTAACGCTGACAGGCAACGCGGCGTTGGTGCTGCTGGCCATCCGCGACTCGCGCCTACACACTCCCATGTACTACTTCCTCTGCCACTTGGCTCTGGTGGATGTGGGCTTCACCACTAGCGTGGTACCACCGCTGCTGGCCAGCCTGCGCGGCCCTGTGCTGCAGCTGCCGCGCGGCTGGTGCATGGCGCAGCTGTGCTCGTCCCTGGCCCTGGGCTCCGCCGAGTGCGTGCTGCTGGCGGTTATGGCGCTGGACCGCGCGGCCGCCGTGTGCCGTCCGCTGCGCTACTCCGCGCTGGCCTCGCCGCTCCTGTGCCGCACGCTGGCCGGCGCCTCCTGGCTCGGTGGCCTGGCCAACTCCGCGGCGCAGACCGCTCTGCTGGCCGCGCGTCCGCTGTGCGCGCCACGCCGTCTGGACCACTTCATCTGCGAGCTGCCCGCGCTGCTGCAGCTGGCTTGCCGAGACGGCCGCGGCGCCACCGAGCGCCAGATGTTCGCCGCGCGCGTGGTCATCCTGCTGGTGCCTTCTGCGGTCATCCTGGCCTCCTACGCCGCCGTGGGCCGCGCGGTCTGGGGCATGCAGTCCCGCGCCGGCTGGCGGAAAGCCGCGAGCACTTGTGGCTCTCACTTGACCGCTGTCTGCCTATTTTATGGCTCCGCCACCTACACCTACCTGCAACCCACGCATAGTTACAATCAGGGCCGCGGCAAGTTCATCTCGCTCTTCTACACGGTGGTCACACCCGCGCTCAATCCTCTCATCTACACGCTGCGAAACAAGGAAGTGAAGGGGGCGGCGCTGAGGCTCTTGCGAAGTGTGGGGAGGCGGCAGACAGGATAGTGACAGGGCCCAGAAATAGGATGCCCATATTGTTTGTCTTTGCATGAGAATCTGCAAGTTTTGTCCTTCAGAAGCCCTGGATTAGTAGAAGGAGACCCTTTCTCTTACCGGGTAGGGTTTGGATTCTTGGGGGGCGGGGGGGACCTGAAATAGATAAACACGCATATATGGTGGTGGGGTAAATGACTCTTGGGACTTTCCGTGAGAAAGGAAGCATGATGGACAAGGAGGGCATGTCCTCAGGAGAGTTTGTAGCCGGCCCTGTGGATTCCACATGGAGATAAGACGATGAATACCCTGGTACTGACCTTTAGTTTTCCCCAAGCTTACGAACAAACAAACAAAAAACATGAGAAATTCCATGGCCTCAGCTGTCAGATGGAGTCCCTCTGGTTAACAAGGAAGTCATGGGCCCTACCTTACAGAGATCCCTTCCAGAAACAGGATATGGTTTCTGTTTTAGTGGAGCCAGTCTCCAGCTATTGCAGACTTAGCCAGGTGACCAATGCCCACTACAGAACACTACAAAGACTGTCTGTAAATACAGGCAGTTGTGCTGGGCCTAAGCTAGGAATCCCATCTGCAGAATATGAAGAGGAAGGCATCATGATCAGGCTATGAGAAAAGCCTGCATCTGACCAGGAGTGAGACAGAGGAGCAAATAGAAGAAAGGTGGAGAAAGGGACTCCAGTTCCCAAGACAGGAGCAGCGACCTGCTGATGAAGGAAGAGCTGTCCGTCAGAAGAACCCAGAAGTCAGCTCCTTCCCTTCCTTAACCAGAGAAGAACTTTTGTTAGGGTTAGACACAGCAGATGGAGAAGATGCTAGATTTTATTTCACATCAAATATCTTGAAATTAAAAGATAATGATTGAATGAATTTATAAATCATTTATTGACTGTGATCCTATTACGGTAAAAAAAAATCATAACACATTATTTCTCTCTTTTTTTAAAGTAGGACTCAATTTGCTTCAGTAATTATTCATTGATGCACCTATCCCTGACTCCCAGGGAATTAAAAGTGTGTACCACCACACCTGACTAAGGTTTCAGTTTTTGCTCTCAGCAACAATCCTGCCACATGATGAATTATTATTAAAAACAAGGAAGCACAGACTTGACAAATATTCTTAATTCACTCACTCAGATCAAGTCTTTATTTCACTCTCATTATTTTTTTTATCTCACCCAGAGGTATGATTGGTAATAGCTAAAAGAAAATGGGCTTTGATCCTTTCATCACCCCATCCCCATAATCACCCCCCAATGCAGCGCACTGTCAGAAAGAGTAAAGTGCCGCTCTTGATGTTGTAGTCAGCCATGATCTTTCCATCTTCCAGCCTCTTCCCATTGCAAGTCACAATCTGATCCTTGGGGTTCACAGCTGTCTCACTCTTAATCATGTCTTTCACCTGGGCAACTGAGCTGGATCTTCGAACTTGGAGGAGGTGCCTTTGCCCTTCATTGCTTAACTCCACCAGAAACAGGGGCAGCTCCTCATCACTGGGCTTCACCACCTTCAGGGTGAGGTGGATGACTGTTTCCTTGTCGATTCCATAAGACGACAGTTTTCTCTGGGGCTTGAGGACCTTGGAGCCTAGCAAAAGAATCTGGTCCTGCACAAAGACTTTGGTTTTGGATCTGATATGCTCATTTATCTTCTTCACTTTGTCATTCTCACTGGTGTCAAAGGTCATCAATGGCCATTGCTCTGAATGGACAACCTAAGCAAAGAAAGTCAAGAGAGTCACCTAGAATGCCTGCTGCCCTCTACACCCTACTTCTCACCTTCACTTTTCTTCCTGCTTGGCCCTCCAGCTCCTTCCCAACTATCCTAATCTCTCCCTCTCTCAAAACTTTCGTTTGTATTATAATACAAATCAGAACGTTAGTTTCATTCCTCTTGAGATATATGTCCAATGTATGTCCAATGTAACTACCAATTTCCTACCTTATTAAGTTTCCTCTTTAAAGCCAGATATAAACACAAAAACATTACAAGGCTTCAAAAGATGTACACAGACTCTTAAACAAATCCAAAGCAAATTTCCAAGACTTGGCAGCCTCACAGGGTATTCTCAGGCATGCCCCATCCTCCGTGGCTAATTGAGAATGGACCCTGATGAAGTTACACAGTCTCCACACTATCACATTCCTATTAACGTCATCATTGGTATCTGATAATGTCCGTGTTGGGGTGATGCTGTGATTAGTGGCTAATCTGTATTTCTTGTATTTTTATATCTACTGTTATAGAACATAATATCCTCTTTTAATTAGACCAGAATCCTACTCACAGAAGATAGGAACTATATCTATGTTTAACTTCATTTGCTGCAGAATTAAGATGAGGAAGAATCAGTGCTGTAAACCCTCCTCACACGCCATTCAAAAACATCTTCCCAGCCTAGATGTTTCAGGTACTTCTTCAGCAGAGGTTTTGCCCTGGTTGTAAGGTCTTTGCATGGGAATCATATCCTTGTTTAATGAAATGTGTTAGGTCACTAGTAACTTAAGATAAATGAGATTTGTGAAATTTTTCTTTGGAGAGAAAGAGAAGCTTACGGTTGAGAACTCTGAAAGTTACTTCCTTAATTTCACATTTGCCAGCCTTATAAAGCACAGTACCACACCACTTCTCCTAAATGGGGCTGGCAAAGTGGCTCAGCTGGTTAAAAAAAAAAATCTCTTGCTACTAAGCCTCACCTAAGTTTGATCCCTGGGCCCTAAGTGGTGGAGGGAGAGAAGTGACTCCTGCAGGTTATCTTCTGACCCTGGCTCTACATATACATGCACATAATGCATATGACAAATACATAATAACGTATTTTAAAAGTTTAGTAAGTCAAATGCCCAACCTCTCTCCAGAGTACCCTCTTCCTATTGTGCAGTTATCAATGCCTGCCTTGTCTTCTGAATGGTTCCCACCCGACCCCTCACCTTCCATGCCACTGTCCCCTCTTGAATTGTGGAACTGTATTTCCCATGCAAGGAAATACTTTTCCTTCCCATTCTTCCATCAGACCCCAACTTACACAGATGCAGGACGCCATGTCTGCAATCGGAGGCTGAGTGAGAAAAGAGCCCTCACACCTGCTTATATGTGAGTAGCTGTGCTGGAAATCCCCGAGACTGCTGTGGGATTGTCCAGTTTACTAACAAACTTTGTTATCAAGAATTTACTTTCAGTTTTGTTGGGGTGGAGTTGATAATGGACACTCTGTGTACACAGACTTCTCCCCTTAGCCAATCCATCTGTACTCCTTTTTGGAACATAAAATGTCCCTTCTAGGATAATAATTTTTCACTGGTTGGCTATACCACTGCCCTCCCCCAATCCTGCCTTATTACTGCCCAGCCACTACTAATCTTGGCATCCCTGGCTTGATAACTTGTGCTGCTTGATAGCCCTCTCTCGTTGCCTAAGTGAACCTGAACTGCAGTCATGACTCGGTGTCCTGAGGTGCCACTTACTACATACATTGGGCTGTAGAAGTATGCGCCTCTCTTTTAACGTAGGGTTATAAAATTAGATAACTGGAGGCCATTCTTAGTGTCCCCCCAGAGTGTGCGCACGCACACATACACACACACACACACACACACACACACATACACACACACACACACACATACACACACACACACACATACACACACACACACACACACACACACACCAGCACAAAAATGCAAAAAACAAATAAACAAAAAACATAAAGACCATGAGGGGGGAAAAAAAGCCTTCAAATAAAGCAAAAACAAAACAAAAAAAAGTCCAAACACAAAAAAAAAATACTATTGAGTTAACTTTGGGTTGGGCAACGATGTCTGGGCATGAGGCCTGCCCTAGAGTACAGTTAATTGACACAATGATACTCCATTGGAGAAAACGGATGTCCCCCTTGCTGGGCAGTACCAATTGCAGATAGCTTCTTCAAGGCAGTACCCTGTGTCCATCCCCCCCTTCTCCTACTGAAGGATCTTAAACAATCTCATTCCATTCTAGGAGGTTCCATTTTGAAGAACTTGAATTACAGAGTACCTGTGTACAGTAAGGCAACTCAAAAGTTTACTCAAATGTTTCAATGTCCTAATGAAATTATGTTTGAAGCTCTTATTATATAGTCATTAGTTAAACTGAAAAGATTGTTAATGTATATGGAATAACATGAAGGGGGGAATTCCTTTAGAATATACTGGATGGCATTTGTTCTGCTGTCCTTACGATTCTCTCTCTCTCTCTCTCTCTCTCTCTCTCTCTCTCCAGCAACCTGTTCTCAATGAGTTAAATTTCAGCTTATGACCATTAGCTGCCACCATGGTCCAATAGGATCTCAGAAGTCTGAAGCATCATCAGTCTCCAGCAGAAAATGTTATCTCTGAAGGTGAATGGGAAATAGCCTTGCACTGATGTGGCAAAGAGGGCCTGCCAAAAGAGAAAGAATAAACTGCCAGACTTGGTCTGCAACAAGCTTCCCTTACTTTTAATTCCTATCTGTAGTCACTACTTTCTTATTTATTTATTCAGAATTATTTGGGCCAGAGCTGGACCATGAAACCCTAACAGCCCAGGCTTGGCAACCTGTCCTCCTTATGCCATGACAAGCAGAGAAAAGAGACTTATTCAAAGTGGTCACATTAGGGAAAAAAAGGACAAAGATGCCCGGTGATCCTTCAAGTGCATCTTCAGGTCCCTGACATGAGGCATGGGCTTATAACAAGCCAGGTGAACTTCTTACAAGGGGGTTTAGCTGAAGTGTGGTCCTTCCCATCATCATTATCTAGGCTCTAGTCTGTCCTGCATGGTGGTCTGTCAAGTAGAGAACTGTGTGATGTCTCTTTCCAAAAGACAAATGCTCCTCTCTTCAGTCTGGCTGGTACCAGATTGGCTGATATCAGTCTTCCCCCTCTCTGAGCATGAGACTCTAATTTGGGTGTTAAGAAGATCCATTGTTTTGATAGCTAAAGGAGGGGTATTGGTACAATTTTCTTGTGGGCTGTGTACAATTTACCCTTGTTTATTCAAATACTGATTTCTCCACCCCACTATCTGGTTTCAATGTGGATATCGCATGGTGATGTTTATTCTAAGCATCACCTGTCTCCATTTGTTCTCTGTGTTGTCAATAAAACAACCAGCCAATGCTGAGCAATGGAGAAAATAGGGTGGGACATCTTGGTCCGGAGGGTAGGAGAAAGAAGCAACGGGAGTAAGGCATCTGAGAGAAAGGACCTGGAAACACCAAGAGAGACGAACCGGACCTAGGATATGACTAAAAGCAACTATAATGCGGGAAATCTGAATGGAAGAAAGCTATGCAGGCTTGAAAGTTTAGGATGGAGTAACTATTGCCCAGCATTGCGCTCTAGATTAATTAAATACATCCTTGTCTCTGTGTGGCGATTTGGGTATACAGCTGGTTTAGGAATAACTGCAATTTAACTAAAAGATAAATCAATAAGAAATATTAATAATCAACAACAGAGGGGCATAGATATCTTTTTAGAATATTTTTGTTCCTGACAGGGTGTTTACATTTTCATGTTTCTCCAGGCAGGCCAGCGGGAGAGTAGATGGTAAGATGTTACTAACAGCTTCATACCATTTTCATTCTTTGTCCTTCTGTGTCAGTGAATGTCTGGGTGCCAGCATTTGCAGTCACAGATAGCAGGGACCTTTGATCAGAGCTGCCAGGAGAGTACAGTACCAGGTTTTTATTGCTAGAAATTACTTTTATTAGAGATGATTTGTGTCAGCTGATACTGCAGGTCTGTTTCACTGCAAGTCAGCAAGGCCAGCTTCATCAATAGAGTCCCTCCATTTTCCTGAGTCCATGGAGGGCTGCCTTCCCCAGCCAGTGAGCATGCCTTTCCCTCCAGCACTACCCACAACACAACGAAGGCAACATTGCCGCCAGGATTCCCTACCTTTTCCTTCCAGTTCTGGCTTATCCTCCCGTATTTCCTCTGAAAATCTTTTGAACTTTGTCTATTGCTATTTTGCTAGTAATAGAATCATCTGCTTGTCTGTCATCCCAGTAAGCACCAGGATTGTGTTCTTGTATCTTCAGCACTTCCAAGCTTGTTATCTGGAACAGAAAGAATAAATTAAAAAATTAATAACAAAAGTAACATTTAGTGAAAATTCGTATTTCAGAAAATTGCATAAGATTATTAAACATGAGCTCATTTGCTGTTTTCATATTCTGGAGACGTATTGGTTTCTATTGGGATAAACAAGACCAACCCACTACAGTCATGAGAGTACTAGCTAGTCAACAAGATCCCGTACACATCTTTGCTACTATGGTCCTTGGCTTTTAATCATATTATTGTTGCATCCAAAGAAAGGAAAGAGCAGAGAAAATACCCACTGCAGTTGGGGGTTTCCAGTAAGGAGTGACTATGAGGGCAAGTCTGGGATCCTTTTCCTTGGAAAAGCTACCTCAGGGGTTTCCCCACCAGAGAGGACTTAGATTCTGGGAAATGGTGTGTTTTCAAGTAATATAAACAATACATCTGGAATCTGATCCCTTCTCCTCTTCCTGTCCCTCTCCTTTTCCGTCACCTCCTTCTTATCATCTGATTCACTGATAAGAATGCAAGACCAAGAAGACTTGCACGAAGAAGTATTTATAGATCTGCAAACCAAGCAAAACTATATTAAGAACAAAAAGGGAAAATATTCTGAAATTCAGGATATGTTCATTTAACAAAAATGAAACTAAATCTAAATGCTATGAGCTACTTGAAGATATTTAAGAGCAAATCAGACCCTTGGAGTCACACTGACATTTTCTCAAATTACATTCAGAGTTAAGCTACTATTATTAACAAGACAATGTTTTTAAAGTAGTTCATTTCTTAAGAGATGTAATGTATATTTAATTTTATTATCGGCAAATGTTTTAAAACAAATATTCTAAAGTGAAGTTGTCACAGGCTAGCTGAATAATGTAACATTTTGGACAACATAGCTATGTAAATACACAAAACATATGAAAGTAAAAATACCCACTGCCCTGGGAAATGCTGTTGACTCTTTGCCTCTTAGACGTGTCGGTACGACCTAATACACAGAGGTTTTGTGTAGCTCATGATGGAGCTCTTGCTTACCATGCACAGTCTGTAGGTCTGGTCTCCTGCCTGGAAAAACAGAAAAAAGAGAAGGCTACAGGGATATTTTGGTTGGATTCGCTTTTAGGAATTTTGTTGCTATATTGTAGCTTTCCTGCTACTTTTCTCCACTTATATGTATTCTTGTAATAAGCAACCACTCTACCACTGAGCTATATCCCAAGCCCTGTTCTTCCAAATAGTTCTTATTATACTAATCATTTAAAAATATAAACAAAACAAGATAATTTGAACACAGGGAACTTCCCAGAGACTCATACTCCAACCAAGAACTATTCGTGGAGATAACCTAGAACCCCTGCACAAATGTAGCCCATGGCAGTTCAGTGTCCAAGTGGGTTACATAGTAATGGGAAGAGGGACTGCCTCTGACATAATCTGATTGGCCTGCTCTTTGATCACCTCCCCCTGAAGGGGGAGCAGCCTTACCAGGCCAAGGTAGAGGACAATGCAGCCATTTTTGATGAGAACTGATAGACTAAGATCAGAAAGGAGAGGAGAACCTCCCCTATCAGTGGACTTGGGGAGTGGCATGCATGCAGAAAGGGGAGGGAGGGTGGGATCAAGAGGGGAGGAGGGAGGGACTTATGGGGGGGATAAAAAAAAAAAGAATCACCGCAGAAAGCTGGAAAAAAAAGATAAACACATGAAAAAAAAAAAGTTGATCATGGTGACACACCTTTAATTCCAGTGTTCCAGAGGTAGAGGCAAGTGAATCTCTGTGACTTCAAGGCCATCTGTTTACATGTTAAGTTACAGGCCAGCCAAGGTATACAAAGAGACCTTGTCTTTAAAAAATTAAAAATAACTGTAAGGAGAGATGGTCCAGCAATTAAGAATGTGTACCGCTCTTGCAGAGGACCATATTGGGTGGCTCACAACCAGCTGTAACTTCAGCTCCAGGGATCCAAAGCCCTCTTCTTGTCTCTCTGGGCACTTGTATTCACATGCACATGCCTACATACAGATATACACACACACACATATATTTAAAAAGATAACTAAGCGCATGCTAGCTTCAAAATGAAGGAAGCAACCAACCATCCTACCCAGCTATTATGACTATGAATCACAACACTAGCATTGCATTATAACCTCCTTAGACCCTTATCCTGAACATTGCTTCTCAGAAAATAGAACCCATTGTGGAAGAGGTCACAGATACTTTGCAAAAGATACGTGTTTTGCAAGGGAGTTTCAGTGTAGTCATTTCCTAAGCTTCATTGTGATAGCCGTCATGAGAAAACGTTTTCCCAAAGTTGTGCTGTGTTTAAATATTCAAAATAAACTGTTCGGTGGCAGAAGTTTGAACCAGCCATGCTAATTAAGCCGTGCTGAACCGGATTTTCTTCTTGCCTCTTGTAGTTTTTCTCTACCAGAAGTGGAACCTGCAGGCAGCCCCACAGTACACCTTGGCAGTAGCCAACAGCGCTCCAGTTGGACCTAAGGCCCATGCAACAAGAGTAAAATCATGCCTCGTACTGGTAACCTACTCAACAGCCCAAGGCTAATGACATCATGGATCTTGGAGGAGAGCCTACAATCACTGCTTTACTAAACCAGAATAGTCCTAACTACATTCTAAATATTTGTCTTATACCCACAGATAAGTGCAGTCCTCACGCCTCATCAGGGAAACTTCCTTTTGCCACAGATATGACAATTACAGAAAACCACAACCAATCAAATGAGCCCAATGGATATACCTACAAAATGCTTCCGTACCTAAGGCTAAGGGAACGTTGCAGAAGAACTGCCAGAAAAGTTGTAAGAGCCAGAGGATCAGAAAGTTTGCTTTGAGACTGTGTCTCCTAGTAATGTAGAAGCTAGTCTCATAAAATTTCATCAGCATGACTGTCTAAACACGACCTGAACAAGGATATCAATAAACATGTCAAAGTAGACAGAGACCTCAACCCTACGTAAAGAATTACAAGCAATTCTGGGAGTAGGAGAAACAGTCTTCCTCAGGGAAGAGCAAACCAATTAGTTATAAAATAACAAATGATCAGCCTCAAAAACTTACACACATGTATCATTATACAATTACTTGTCTGTAGACTAAGAAGGCTATATTTAGGAATATGTATGCATCTAACAAGAATTAATGACAAAAGAGGCCGTGAAGCTGAAAGAAATCAAGGAGAGGTATATGGGAGGGTTTGAAAAGAAGAAAGGGAAGAGAGAAATGATGTAATTTATGTTAGAATCTCAAAAAAGAGATAATAATGAATGACAATAATTAGTAACTCTTTTTAAAGAAACTGAAAAGAGTTACTATCATCCACTATGAGATCCACTAAGAGTTACTATCATCCACTATGAGATCCACTAAGAGTTACTATCATCCACTATGAGATCCACTAAGAGTTACTATCATCCACTATGAGATCCACTAAGAGTTACTATCATCCACTATGATATTATTATGCTTAAAGTTTATATACTTGTTGTATGTATTATTTGTTGTATCAAAGTTTGTGATTAAAAATAAGTTTAAATGTTTTAATGTACATATCTTCTAACCCGGCAGTTCTATACTAATACTCATAGTGGATGAAATGAGAAGTATTCATGTTATTATTTGTAATAAAAATGAAGACAACAAATATCAAGAGGACTAAATTAATGAATATATAGAGAAGAATTAACTGAAAAAATCAAGTTTTAAAATGTGTATAACATGCTAAATGTGGAGAAAGCAATCAGCCATGGGTTTAACTGACTCTAGTTTTGTCTCTTTAGTTTCACTCTTTCCTGGTAAGAACTTGGATTCCAGGAAGGTCAGGACTGACTGATAAACATCTTTATGACAAGAAACTGAAACTACTCTCATGCTACTGCAAACTTAGTAAACTGCCTCATGATAAGGTCATGCTCTGAATGAGGTGGCAGCTGGTGTTGGGACAGCACTGTGAGCAACTGTTACCACCTGTGAGAACTAGGCAAGTTCTCCTGAAGCCTCTATAGAATCAGGGCTGAGACTACAATCAATAGGGCACTGGCCTGACCAGCCTCACCTCCTCTGTCCCTATATCTCAGCTCCTGCTTTGTTTCTTTTTTTTCTATAAAATCTCACAGTTTCTATCAGCTTTTTAAAGGCCATCACTTGTTCTTCCCACTTTTAGGCACAGTGAGATCTCCTTTTCTGCCGTTCACCAAAGCTTGTTTCTTTGATTGGCATACTGGTCAAGGGTTAGTTGATTGGAACCCTCAGAATTGGGCCTTTTGCTCTAAACCTCCTAAAGAAAAACAAATAGTCTTTATTTATAACAGAAGAAAGTGTGTATGCATGTTTGTATGCTAAAATTCGCATACGATACCTCAAAGTGAAGATATTGCCCTTCAGTTACCTGAGGTATAAAATGAGAGACTTACCATGTGCTCTGTCCTGCTGTTGGGGTTTTGAAGTTCTTTTAGCCTGCACATGACTTACTTAAATTAGATGGATAAATGGGTAAATGATTAGAAAAAACATAGAAGAATAGAGGGAAAGATGAAGAGAAATAGGAGAAAGGAAAGAGAAAGAATTAGAAAAAGAGGTAGAGGAGAAAGGGTAAGAGGGTAGAGAGGAGGAGGGAACTGGAGAGGGAGAAGAGATATATTTCTTCCTTGTTGCTGTTGCCTCAGAATAAGACTGGCAATAAGCTCTTCACCAATAGGAACTACCTTCAGTACTCATCACCAGTTGGTAGGCTAATGACCATCTATCTTTGGTACTGCTTTATTAATATGACAAAGCAACTTGGAGAAGAAAATATTTAGTTGGTGTCCTTCTCGAGCCAGGGTTTCACTGCAGGGTGCCCAGGCATTGATGTGTGCTGGTTTTGAAGACATGAAGCTCAGGTGAGGGTTGGGGGTGGGAGTCTGCAGGATCCCAATTCCACAGAGAGTGCTGGGGAGGAGGGGGCAAGGAGAGGTAGCTGTCTCCAATACAGCTCTTTAAGTAATACAGCCCTTTGAGTGACAGCTCTTCCAGTGATGCAGCTCTCTTTATTGGGGCGGGGAATAAGGGCTGTAGACCCCTTGGGGATGTGGGTAGGAAATTTTGGGTGAGTGAACATCATTGACTGGGCTGAGATGCTGTGGTTGCTTTATTTGCATGGAGAGGAATTCCGGGTGCTAGGCTACATGACTACCTCAAGAATTGTGAGGGTGGGAGTCTCAAGACTACATGCTCCAGGGCATGCGTGCACAGAACAGGGAGGGAGAGATCCTTATTCTTGCCAGTTACAAGTTGAGATTTGGGGGTTTGGATACATCTTGATCTCTCTTTATCTTCAGGCTGGTTTCCCCAGTAACACAGTCCATGTGCCCCACAAGTTTGGGCTTGCTTAGAGAGTTAGTCCATTGTCATCAGAGTGATGAACATGGTGAAGGCATAGTGCTGGAGAAGTATCTCAGAACTACATCCTGAACTCCAGGCAGCAGGCAGAGGTGGGGGGGGCAGAGATAATGGGCCTGGTATGGGCTTTTGAAACATTAAAGCCCACTCCCAGTGACACGCTTCTTCCAAAAAAGCCACACCTACTGGAACAGGGCAATATCTCCTCCAACAAGATTACACCTAATCCTTCCCTAACAGTTCCACTAGCTGAGGACCACGCATTCAAACATATGAGCCTATGAGGGTAATTCTCATTCACACCACCACATAAAAAGCTATTTGCTAAACCAAGAAGAAACAGAAAAAAAGAAAAAGCCAGGCAATGGTGATGCAACCCTTTAATCCTAGCACCAAAGGCAGAGGCAGGCAGATCTCTGAGTTTAAGGCCATCCTAGTCTACAGATTGAGTTTCAGGACAGCCAAGGCTACAAAGAGAAACCTTGTCTCTAAAGAAGAGGAAAAAGAAGAAGGGGAGGAGGAAGAACAGCTAACAAAAACAAAAACACTCATGGACAAATGAAAATATAAGAAAATTTTGGTGGAACTGGGGAGATGGCGCAGTGATTAAGAGTACTTGCTATAGTACTCAGAGAGGCAGAGGCAGGTAGGTCTCCATGGGCTTGAGACCAACCTGATCTACAAAGGTAGTCCAGGACAGCCAGGGCTAAACAAAGAAATCCTCTCTAAAAAAAATTAAAACCACTTGGTCCTCTTGCAGAGGACCTGGGTTCAGTTCTCAGAACCCACATGGTGGTTCATAACCGTCTGTAACCCCAGTTCCATGGGATCTGATGCCCTTTTCTGGTCTCTAAGTGCACTGTATGCTCATGGTACACAAAAGTATATGTAAACACGTATACTCGTAAAATTAAAATAAATAAATCTTTTTAAAATAAATAATATTTTGCAATAAAAATAATATAACTTTTTAATCCATAAATAAAGATGAAATTAAGACATTCACAGGAAAAAATGATCATTACATTGGGAAAAACAAACCAGACTCAGAAAGATAAATATTGTGATTTCTCTTATATTAAGAATTAATATTTACATTTATGAAAAGTTTAAACAGGGAATTATGAGAGAGGGAAAAGGTGTAAAGTGCAAGGAAATGAGAACAAGAGAGGGTAATGGGATATTTATGACATGAAAGCTGAAGGGATAAGTATTTGTGAGAAATAATGTGTAGTGAAAGTTTTTGGTTTCTTCAAAAGCACAAAAATAATATGTTTTTGTTTGATTCTTGGATGTGAGTGTGGGGCTGCTTCAGACTGTCTACAGTAACTATGATTTGCCTCATGTTCTATCATTGGTTTGATTTTTTTAATTGCAGATAGTATCTGCAAGTATATGACATTTGGAATTCTGGGGGCATTTGGGAGGGTATATGCTGGTTGTTGTGAAAGGGGCTGTGTTGATTGCTGCTCCTCCTGATGTTGCTGCTGTTGTTGTTGGTTGCTGTTGATTACAATTTGCTACAGTTTTTCAAAAGGTCATAAGCAAAGAAATGAAATTCTGTTGGGGAAAAAAAAAATCAGCCCTGCCTGCCTCAAAGAAGCCAATGCCCCTAATCAGCAGGAAGTAGTCTAGTGATGATGACCCCTTTGACCTCTACTCTTCTTATTCTCCAATCTAGTGCTGAGGGTTTGGAAGGGTGGAATAAAGGTGGAGAAGGATTCTAATAAAAGATCCCAATAAAGTAGCCAAAAAGTAGTACCAGACATAAGGCTAAGCAGAATGAGAACTCTGGTTTAGAATGCCATAGAGGAAACCACAGAGAAAAAAAGAATATTTTGTTTCAAGACATCAGCAAAAGGTTTATTGTGATTGCTGCCATTAGGATATCCCCTGCTTTGCTTCCAGGGAGGAATTTTCTTCCTATATTCTGTCTCAAAAAAGGTTGGGAGAATGGCTGAGCAATTGGAAAAATTGCAAGAAAAAAGGGAAGAACGCTAGAAACTGAAATGGGAAAACCAAAAGGGCCATTCTACTCTCTCATTTCTGAAAGGGTTGCAGAGTTGGCTATGCAACTGGAAAAATTGCAGGTAGAGGTGGAAGCACTTGAAAAGCAAGTACCCTGGAAAAGGGAGAAATAAAAAGCTTAGACCCAGTGAGCAGGAGTTTCACCTCGGAGAAAGGAGGGAAACAAACTGCACAAAACAGATCTCAGCCCTGCCCAGGACCATGCACTTTTGGTTTCTAGTCCCCACAGTCCCTGGGCAGGACGAGGAACTCGGCATGTGGCCAAGAAGAGGAGGAGACCTGGAAGGGAGACAGGGTCAAAGAAAAGCTGAAACAGACCATTTTGAAAGAAAGAGTTACTACTGAACCAAGTCTGCCATCAAAGACAGAGAAGGGGCAGCCTGGAATTACTAAATCGCCATTGGTATTCACAGTAATTGTACAGCACATGCCCACCAATGGTGCTGACCACGAATATGACAAAACAGGGTGGTGCCCGGAGAAATGACACGTCTGAGGCTTTCTAAAGAGGCTATGATTTTTCTGTGGCATGCATTCGCCTTATGTAAAACAAATCAAACATTTTGTTTACAAATTCTAATTTTTTATTTAGAATTAGTAAAATTCTAAAAATGCAAAATGGAATTATTCCCCAAAATTGGAAGGGGGTGGTAAGACCTGTGCTAGAAGCTGGTCAGCAGTTACAGTGGTCAACGTGGTGGAGGGAAGAAGTCACAAATATTAAACAAGGGAATAGAGCAAAGGGAATGAATATCGTCAAACATCAGTTGCTTGGTGAAGGGTGGTATTTTTTTTTTATCTACAAGAACAGATTTGATTTAATGATGCCACTATAGAACAATGTTACTTA